TTGATAACATTGGGGTAACACCCAGCAGGAGTTTGAAGTCCATTCAGTTCGGTGGCTTGTCTCTTGCAGTTCAGGTAGTAGCTGTGACCTCTCCCGTCCCTCCCCTTCTCCCATCTCTTCCCTGTCCCACTCACTGGCCAGTTCTCAGGAGGAAACCCTAAGATCATCTGACCACAGGGATTCCTGGTAGATGGGATGTGGAGGCACCACCTGGTTGGTCACAGCCTCATGACTGGCCAGTAGCTGCCCTGCTCCTCCCCCCCAGGGGCAGGTATTTTGCTCTAAGGTCAGGGAAAAGAGTGGGTGCCACTGCCAGGCACCACGACTTGTCACTGGAAGTTGGCGGGGTGTGCAGAGAAGCTCTGCAGCAGCTCTCTCCACCTCTGGCACGCTTTCCACGCCCCCTCTTTGGGAACACTGGGGAGAGGCTGGTGTGGGGTGGAGGGCCTGGGCTTTCCAAGGGTGAAGGTCAAGGAGGAAGGGCAGTAGGCCTCCCCTGGCCCGTGGACCTTCTGAACGCCCTTCCTCCCCTGATGGGCTTTTAGACGCCATGCCCAAGGACTGCCTCCAATCCACGTGAGTCCTGGCCAGGCCTGTTTTACTGAGGAAATGGTTTTGCTCTCTGAGCTGTGGATTACAGCCAGAGCATTGGCTGCGTGGTGCTGCATGGAGGTGCAGGTGAGTGACAGGCGCTTTCACACCAACTCTGGCATGTATTCTGTGGGTCATCATGCAGAAGACATGGCCAGCTATTTGAATGGTTTCTATTCGTTGAAGCTTTTTTCTTCTTCCCTTTGTTTGTACACTTCAGTGGTCCTCAGTTTTTATTTTTCAGATCCCGGTTCTTTCCTGCCTCTTGCCAGTCTTGTGAGTCGGATCACAGCAAAGTTCACTGGGATTATTCTAATTCTTTTGAGATCTTAGCACTACTTTGCTACCTGAACAAAGAGAGAGGAAGACCGGTGTCTAATTTCTGTCCTTATGGATCAAAACATATTGACCGTACTTCTTATGGACAAGTTAGTTATAACCCGACTTCTACGAGGTTTCTGCTAGAGGTGCTCATTAGCCGGCCAGGCTCTTCTCAGGCTATTGAATTAGACTCTCCGGGTAAGGCCCGCCATCTCTGCTTTGAGAAGTCCCTGATGACTTTGACATACACGTAGTAAAGGTCCTTCCAGCTCTAAAATGCTGCTACTTAGTTTTATAGTTCACTTATATATTTTTAAAATCAAAGTAACATAGCTTCAAAATCAAATAGCACTAAAAAATTTTTTAAGAAAAACCTGACTCCGGCCCCCGCCCTTCCCAGAGGGGATACTATGAATGATTCCTTTCTTGTCTCTGTATATAATCCCCCCCATTACAGATTGACTAGTTACTTTTATTTGCTTAATGCTGTGAATTTATGAATTCATTTTATTTTTTACAGATATTCCGGTAGATCTATCAAATGCTATCAATTTTCCCTGTGCCCAAATAATCTATTAGTTTTGTTTTTTTTAACACCCCTCCATCTCTCACGGGACTGCTTGGTCTCTAGATCTGGTACCTGTGCATTTGTGGTTTCTCTTCTGTCTGCTTCTGTCTCTGTCTTCTCCTGGATCCTTTGTTGTCTTTTTTTGTGATTTATTTCCCGAGGAACATGCACAGATTTTGTGAGTGTCTGCATGTCTGAACAGACCTCTATTTTACCCTTATACTCAAGCGATAGGTTGAAGTTATTTTCACAGAGGACTTGAAGGCACTGCTCTATTTTGTCCAGCTTTCAGTGTTGTTGGGAAACCCAGAGCTTTTCTCATTCATGATTCTTTGCCATCTGGTTCTTCTCAAAGGGGTCGCTTTGCCTTTGGTGTCCAGCGCTTGGTGATGTGTCTGGATGTGGACTTCCTTGGGTTAGCCTGTTTCTAGTTCACTGAGCTGCTTGAATCTGTGCATTTATATTGTCACATTTGAAAAGTTACCAAGCATTGTATTTTCAACTGTTTTTTGAGCTCTGTCAAACTTCTCTCACTCTGAGACTCTGATGACGCAAGCATTAGACCTTTTGTCGTCCCCAGGTCTCTTAAGGCTCTTTGCTTGGGAGCCAATACGTTTCTGCAAAGAGGAATCTCACATTTGCTGCCAAAGATGGGATTGTGCAGTGGGTGGCCAAGGAGGGGGAATACATTAGGTGATACAGCTGACCCTTCAACTGGGCGGGTAGGGGTGCTGACCCCCTGTGCAGTTGAAAATTTACATGTAACTTTGTATTTCCCATTGCTGATTTGATTATAGTAAATGATAAAATAGACTAGTATTTACATATATTTTATGCACCATGACATATCTTTTTTATTTTTTTGATATTTCTCAGCCACTCAGTTCTTCTGCAGGTTTTTTCAAACTGTTGCATATCTCCAAAAATTTTTCCAATATACTTATTGGAAAAAAATCTGTGTGTAAGTGGACCTATGCAGTTCAAACCTGTGTTGTTTAAGGGTCAGCCATTCTTGACCATGCGGAAGATAGTATTTGAGAGAGATCCTTGGGGGACCCGGGCAGAATCAGTGCTTGTACATGGACACAGGAGACTGAGAAGCGGCACGAAAGACATCGCTTCAGTGCACAGACTGGCTGGACTTCGACGCATGTTTCACTAGGTATCCCCGTGTGAGGAACCCTGAGTGCTAACTTTGTAAGACGTGTGTGTGGCTCCGTTGGGAGAGCAGAGGGGGGCAGCAGTGGAAGAGGGGGTGACGCCATCCCAGGAGCAGGGCTGTACTGGCGTCTGCAGTGGACATAAACAGCCACATAAGCGTGGTGTTCAGAAAAATGGTGGTGATATCAGAAGCAAAGACTGTTCTGGTTGGAAATGGTTGCTCCTGAGAAGTGAGGCTTGAGGTGGAGGCTGGGGCCAGGGGACTGCTGCTGTTTTGTTTAAAGCCTTTTGACCCTGTCTGACTTTTTAAAGGAAGAATATGTGTATAACTTCGAGTTGAAGAAGCCTTTGGGAAGGCTCTGGTTAAGAGGGGAGGCTGAGTATCCTGGAGCCTGGGGATTAGGAGTTTAGCTTCTGAGAAAGTGGGCCGAGCTAGAGTCCAGAACACCGAGTGGGAGGATTAGTCTCGGTTGGGAGGAGGATTAGATAAAAGCCAACATAAGTATTCTGTCTATCCAGTAGTTTAACCTCTTTCTTTGAAAAATGCTTTCTGGTTGAAGTCAGAGCATCTGTGTTGAAAACAGCTTTGTATAGCCATGCTGACAGTGTGATCTGTGGGCCCCTGGAAGTCTCTGAGGCCCTTTCAGGGACCCACAGGGCTGCAGCTCTTTTATAATATTATTAAGATGCTATTGGCCTTTCCCTGTGTTGGGAGGTTGCGCTGATGGTGCAAAAGCAATGGTGGGTGAAGCAGCTGGCACCTGAGTGCAGACGAGGCCTTGGCTCCAAAGTGCAAGTCGTGGTGTGCTTCTCAGCCACACATTTGCAGTGAAAACATCATCCCCCCCAGATTGCCCTTGATAGAACAGCAAGACTTACTGATGTTGCTGATTCCAGCCTCTGCACCCATGTCTGATCTTCTGTGTGATGAAGCGGGGTATATGCGGTAGGCATGGGGGCGCACTGGCGGTGGGGTGGAGGGCACCGTGCTGTCGATGAGCTGCAGGCCACACCATTTGCTTTCTCCTGGCACCCTTTCCGCCTGCAGGGACCGTGGCAGACATTTTCTGGAAAACAAAGTGAACTGTCATTTTAAAGACAACAACTGGCAGTATTTGTTGTCGCTGACAAGAAGATAGTAGAGAGTGAAATAGGGAAGGTCTGCATAGCTTCGGGAACCAGTATTTTCCAAATGACCGGTGATGATGGTACGAAGTCATCCATAAGCTAAAGATCCATTTACAGTGCAAGATAGACTGGATTTTCCTGGAATGGGGTTCAAGTTCATTGCTGTGCTTTCAGATTCCACAACCTGAACAATATTAAAGAAGCTTCTACTTGTCAAGTTTGGTAGCATGTCAAAGAAGAGCCATGATTCCCTAGGAATGCCCCAGAGCACTCCTGTACTTCCCAGCAGTCGTGTGGGAGGCAGGATTCTCACATGTCGCCCAGAACCGCACGTTGCAGCAGATGAATGCAGAAGCAGATAGGAGAGTCCAGCTGTCATCTAGTAAACCAGATATTAAAGAGATTTGCAAAAGTGTAGCACCGCTATTTTCATTAATATTCTTTTTTGGAAAAAATTCATTTTTCATAATAAATATTGATGTTCAAATGTAATGGGTTTGATACTGCTTTTAAAGGAATGAATAAGTAAATAAATAATCTCTCATCTTGATTTTGAACACAGTAAATGCAACAGAGACAACCACTTAAACATGTTCTTTGTGTCCCCGCCGCCCCCCCACCCCCCGTAATTTTAAAGAGTACAGAGGAGTCCCAGAACCAGACAAATTTGGGGAATTGCTGGGTTAGTTACTTGTTCTAGGAGCCACTCCTGAATAGATGGGTAGCCTGTGAATGTGCAGGTATGTCTGTGAAACTGAGAGTACGTGGGGGAGTTGTTAAAAGTGTGTTATGTCCTCGCATGTCTTCCTGTTGCTCCCGTACGAGAGCTGTAGTTTGAACGTGGGAAGAGTGCCTGGTGCTCACGCTGCAGGCCCCAGCGCCCCGCGCCTCTGCTTTGGCAGAGGCCCAGGCCCGATCTCTGGTCTCTGTCCCACAGCCCGTCAGGAGCACACGGCAGGGCAGGAGGCATGCCGGGGAGCCGCAGGTGCCGGCGTGACAGACAGACGGGGCTGGGAGAGAGCAGGTGCTGTGCCCGCGACCTCCAGAGAGGTGCCACCGGTGGTGCGTTAGCCCATTTGGTGCGTCAGCACTTCTGTAACCCCAGCGAAGCCCAGTTGCGTCTTCTTCCATTGAAGGTGGCCCTGACGTGAATTCTGTACGTGGAAAGTCTGGAAGCGGTTCAGCAGGGGAGCAGATGTGCAGATAAAAATGTTCTCTCCTTCTTCCTCAGATCCTCTGTCCATGGGTCCTCAGAAAGCGCTGGAAACCATCGGTGCAAATTTACAGAAGCAGTATGAGAACTGGCAGCCACGGGTGAGCATCCGTTTGCTTCTCTTTCCTCCTCACCGGGAGGCCGCAGTTCCTTGGTTTCAGTCTCTGGGCGAACGGGGTGAGCACACGTCACCCTGAGGCCGTCGGTCGGTGACCGGGGGCTGCTCCTCCCGCCTTCCTTCCCTCCTGGCCTGTGACGCGCTGTCCCGTTTTGTAATGCAGCACTTGCCCTCCTGTGAGTCATAAGTGGGTTGTCTGTTAGTGATTTTGCCTAAGTTCTCCCCAGATTTTTAACAAGTAAGGCATTTTCATGTTACTCTTAAAGCATGGTTTTTACTTTGCACAGAAATGTATTTTAATAACTTTTCTGCAGCCTCAACTAGTGAGAGCTATTTCTTTTGTCTTCAGTTTTCAAACAGTTGAGAAAAAAAGGGCCCAGTATTCAAAAGATGACACCTATTAAATGCTTTGTCTTTGATTCAAAAGGTAAGGTTCTCTTCAGGGAGTCAGTTACCAATTACTGAGCCTTTTGTTGCTTATAGCTCACAGTTTTTTTCTGTGTCTTTGTTTTTTTAAAGAAAGCAGCATAGAATATAACTGTGTCAAATTGCCTTTAAGATCTTGAATTATTTGTAAACACCCAGAGACCTATTTCCTTCAGCCTTTCTTGTTCACTGCTTTGAGGATTTAATACTTCTAATAGAAAATTAAAATTTTAGGAGGGCCTTTAGAATTAATGGAGGGTATTTTCCATTCAGGCTTGTGTGAGGGGCCGTTCTGGTGACCTAAAGGGTGCGGTCAGACAGGCAGCGAGCAGGCGGCCTGCCTGCCTCCTCCTGCGAGTCTTTGCGCTCCCTTTTTGAGTAATGGAAGCAAATGGCTCAGGACCTCCCAGAGGACACTGCCTGCTCGGTATTTTCATTTGTGGATCATGTATCCACGTGCTGTGAAATATAGGAATTCTTTGTGCATTATTTACATCTAAGAGAAGAAAATAGCCAGAGAGGATTTGTTCCTGCCTGTGACAGTGCCCTCAGGTGATGTCCGCCGTTGCTCGCAGCGGTGGGATGGCTCACTGTCACGCAGCAGCGGCAGGTTGTAGGGTTCACCTCTGTGCTTCAAGTTTCTAACCTGTCAAGCCAGTAATAATGAACCCCTATGCTTTAGAAGGCACTTTCTTAGTGGTGGTTTTGATCCATGCCTATCGACTTTGGTTTTTCCTCCATCAGATGTGTCACCTCTTGACGGTGTTTATAAAAATTCTGTAGCCTTTTTCTGGAGAGTACAATGTGTTCGGGGCTTGGATGAGGACCAGAGATATATTTTGATGGGATGGTGTATTCCTTTCAAAACAGTTGAGATGTCTAGTGTTATCAACAGAAAATAGCTTCTTTGAGACCTTTGGAGGTACTCAAGACCCTGGCGAGGTACATAGACACTTAACCAGGAGTGAGTGGTGCGGACAGCGTGACGGTATGCACCTGGAACAAAGGATGGTACCATTGGCATCTGGAAGATGGAGAGTCAGCACTATTTAAATGTAAAAGAGTGCCTTTCTGCTTTAGCGACCTCTGATCTCTCCTGGGCTTGACTTTCTGCTCTGGCTTTTTGCTGGGTACATCTGTGTAAAAGAGAACGCAGCCAGATGAAGTCAGATCCATAGCTGTGTTCTCTGTAGAACAGGGATCTGCTGTTTTGATTACTTTTTTCTGTTAAAGAATTATTACATGAGAAGATACAGTCTTTCAGAATACATGTTTAATATTTCAAGATATTGTTTGTTTATTCCATTTGATGTGACTTACTACAGTTTTTTTTCCCGGCATGCTAAGGGTTGATTTACTGCTATTCTTTTCATTAGTGTAGCTTGGTAGGTATCAGCTAGTTCAAGCTAGCAGATAGTAAATGGGATTTTCTGGTAAGGTCTATCATTATTTTTGACCTAAATTTCTGTCTGAGAGCAAACCTTGTTCACGGTATCTGGAAGCGGGGTCACCATGTAAGGCAGGCAACCTTTAAATATAGGGAACTGGTTGCAGGTCCAAAAACAGCAGTGCAGAGTCACATATAGGACTGAGAGACTACCTTCCTGTGAGAGTGGGTGGTAGGCCACGGTTCAGGGGCGTACGGTCCTGTGGGTAGTCGGTGAAGTCTGAGAATATTTGTTAAATTGGTGAGATTGCATGAATTCATCTGCTGTATAAGTTTTTGAAGGAGGGAGAGAGAGAGTTCAGAGGGCTGTTGAGGAAGACTGTTTCTAGATTATAGGATGCTTAGGAAAAGCCTTCAGTGAACTAGTGCCAGGGAGATCCCACAGGGTGAGTTTACAGAGTGGGTCAGGGATGAGGTATCAGCGGCAGCCTGGAGAGCAGCAGTTCATGCCGAGCGAGATCTCTTGCCTGCGTTCAGGAAGCACAGCCACAACAAGGAGTACTTAACACTGTCTTTTTCGAATGCCAAGACCCATTGCATTCATTTTTTATTTTTATTTTACTTTTTTATTTTGGTATCAATATACAATCACATGAGCAACATTGTGGTTACTAGATTCCCCCCATTATCAAGTCCCCACCACATACCTAATTATAGTCACTGTCCGTCAGCATAGTAAGACCATTGCATTCACTTTTTTTTTTTTTGAGAGGGCATCTCTCATATTTATTGATCAAATGGTTGTTAACAACAATAAAATTCTGTATAGGGGGGTCAGTGCTCAATGCACAATCATTAATCCACCCGCAGCCTAATTCTTGTCAGTGTCCAATCTTCTGAAGCATAACGAACAAGTTCCTACATGGTGATCGAATTCTTACATAGTGAATAAGTTCTTACATGGTGAGCAGTGCAAGGGCAGTCATCACAGAAACTTTCGGTTTTGATCACGCATCATGAACTATAAACAATCAGGTCAAATATGAATATTCGTTTGATTTTTATACTTGATTGATATGTGGATCCCACATTTCTCCCTTTATTATTATTATTATTATTATTATTATTTTTAATAAAATGCTGAAGTGGTAGGTAGATGCAAGATAAAGGTAGAAAGCATAGTTCAGTGCTGTAAGAGAGCAATTGTAGATGATCAGGTGTGTGCCTGTAGACTAAGTATTAATCCAAGCTAGACAAGGGCAATAAAACATCCACATATGCAGAAGATTTCTCTCAAAACAGGGGGGGGTGAGGTTCTGAGCCTCACCACTGTTGTTCCCCGATTTCTCACCTGCTGGCCCCCCTGCGGCTGTGCCTGTCTTAGGTTGTTCCTCCCTTGAGGAATCTTACCCGTCTCTGGCTAACCAGTCATCTTCCGGGGCCATACAGGGAGATGTAAAGTTGGTGAGTGAGAGAGAAGCCATATTGTTTGAAAAGGTTAGCTTTTTACTTCTTCATTGCATTCATTTTTGCATGTGATAAAAATGTTTAAAATTTCGCTGCTCTCCACTGTTAGAGGGACTCACTGATTTCAGAAACAAGCCTAAGGTAGTGGGTGCGGCAGGGTACCCGAGCGTCTGTGGGGTTGTGCACTGGGCAGTAATAGTACAGGCCCCGTGCAAGGGGCGCCCTTCTTGCTCTCCCTGACCTCATGTGGGTTACAGGAGCGGGAGGGAGGCTGGCATCCATGGCGTGGTTCTCTGTGTGGCCGGCCTCGTGCTCCCTTACAGACTTTGTGGAAAACATGAGGCAGTTACCAAGCTCAGATGTTTGTGTGCAAGGCGCCTGCAAATCAGGGTGCTTTGAAACATCGCAAAGCTGAACACACACCACTTTATTGCACCCCACAGGGCTCTTGAGTTTTCTGCAGTAATAGAGGTTGATGTGCATCTGCAATAAAACAATGGGGACATTATTAAGTTTCTGGATCTTTGATGTCAGTACCCATAGATCTGGTTTTCTCTGTCTCTATATTCTCTATTTTGCAAGACTCACAAAGGTTCAGCAACTGGAAATAAGGTCATTTTCATTAGTGTTTGTGGAAATCCTCGCCTGCCTCCATGTTGCTGTGGGCGGAAATAGGCTAGGAAATCCTGCTGTCTGATCCCATCGGGGACGTGCAGAGAATCAACCTCTGCGAACCTGCCAGCACTGTGAGAGCAGGGCCTTGAGTTGCTATTTCCTGCCTGCTGCTACCATGCGCCTCCCTCTCTCCTCCTTACTTTTCCAGCTTTAACCATCCAAGATTAAACATTTTGATGAGGGTGATTTGGGGTCAAGAAGGAATTTAGAGAAACCATAACAATGATTTTTTTTCTGAAGCTGACAGACTGTCAGACCCCTATTTCCTTGCCAGGTCGATTGTGCCCTTTTCTAAATAATTTATCAGTTTGCTACTAGTGAAATATTTCTTTTGATTAAATTTAAGTCTTCTCCTTATTACATGGTAGGCACATAAATTTGTGTTCTGCAGGAGACTGAAGGAGAAGTGCCAACTGTTGTTTCAGCGGAAAATTCTGTGGTTAAATAAACCTCACTCGTTTCATCAAAGTCTCAACAGAAAGCTTTGCTGGGAGATGGCAGTAGGAGATTACAAAGCATATACAGTGAAGAATTTATCTTTTTAAGACTTTTGCCTACAAATCAAGGGTGCTGGCAGTTTAGTGCAAGGTCTGATTTAGGAGCTGGAGCCGGCGGGAGGTGGCAGTGCCTCCATCCTTGTCTACCGTCCTTTCTCTAGAGAGCACACAGGCCCAGGCGGAGGCGCGGTGCCTTTCCTTGGGTTGAGTGCTGTTCTGGGCGACGAGTTTATGTGGGAATGTTTGTGACTTACTAGGGTAGGTGAAGGAATTTGGCACGACTTCCCCTATTGGCAGGCATCTGGGGTGACCTGAGTAAATCCGTTTGTCCCAGTAGTTCTTGGGTTTGTGCTGGTCTAGGAAAGGGGCAGAAAATGCCACTCAGCTCTCTGCTTGCTGGTGGAGCTTGTCCTATCCTAAGTGGGGCTGCAAGTGGCGGAGGTGGCCCACCTGAGCAGCAGCTGGGACCCTCAGGAGCTGGGACGCTGGACGATTCCCAGTGAATGCACCCTGACAGTTCTTAGGTGTCCT